TTAATGAAAAGTTTGACATTTTTGACTACAACCTTATTCAAAACTTTTTATCATTTGAGCACGTTTTGTATTATTAACATTGAATTGAAAATTATCTTGACTACAAAAACATGGAATTGACTTGCGGAAATTTACGCGCGAAGATTTATTATGACTTTCGACGTGGTTAATCAATACAAAACTGACGCGGTCAGCTAAATTTCACTTTTGGTGATAAAGATCTGTCCTTGACCATTGTAAAAGGCTAGTTTAAGAAGTATAATATTGTATGTCATTGGCTCACCAGTGAACTTTGCGAAAGTCGTCCAAAATGACTAATAGTGGCGGAAAACATTGATGTTGTCAGAAAAATGGAAGAGAAACCTCGTCATGTGATATATCGTAAGATTGAGATAATCCTAGGCATTAATTCCACTAGCAGTTATAAAATATTGTATGACCATATTATGGTTAATACGTTTTTTTCTCGCTGGATGTCACAAAATTTTTCAAACGCTCAATAGGACGCTTGTGTCGTTTAGTCCTTGGAAATGTTTGATAAATAAGTTTAAAAAGCTTTAAAAGCCGTTTTTAAAATTGTGACAGTTGACGAATTAAGGATCTATGCATAATGATCCTGAAAATAAACAGCTATCGACTATGAAGATGTTTTAAGATGAACCAATTCCAACAAAAGTCCCATGCGCTCGGAACACTTTGAATCTTACGGTCGCCTATTTTTCCGAAATATCCGATTATATGACAGAAACGTCACTAGAGAAATTTAGAATGGTTAATTCTTAATAGTAAACAGCCACTTTTTTTCCAAAAGTCTTCAGTTTAATAAGGGAAACTGACCAGCATAGTCAAATCGCCATTCGTTACGAAAATGTGAGCTTTTACACGTCTCGTCAAACAACTGCCTATTTAAACACTCAAAATATGAAATAAACAGGTCCAACGCTACAAAATTCTTGCTTGGAATCCAAACACTTCTTTTGGTACCCATATATTAAAATTAAATGCGTGAACAGCGATTTATGTAGCCAGAAGCAACTGTCGGTGCGGTCAAAAACCATGCTTTGGAGGTGCCTCAAACTGAGTGGAAAAAATGCTATGAAAAGTGTTTCGGACACATTAAAAAGTACATAAATCATGAAAGACAATACCAATAAACGCAATCAATACCATTTTAATAATAAACTACTTTGTTTTCATAGTTAGGCTCACAACTTAAATAGTGTCCCACGTAGAATCACAGATCAATATACATACCTACTTATAAATAAGTAAAGTAGTTTTATTACTTACATACATAGTATTCGTTATGCAAATATTTCAAAGAATGCGCCCAATTAACGCAAGACAATAGTAGTCAAAACTGTACAAAATTTTAGTTTTCTTACCACATTTACGGCTATTTCTCATCCTAAAGTGTAGGTAGGTATGCGTTATGAGCAAGATTTTTGAATCGGGGGACAAAACATCTATTAACTAAGTATAACTATATTCTGTCACCTATTATTGGTACTACATATTTGATAGAACTTAGGAAGCACTTTCAGGATCAGTAACTAGTTTTTTGATATCTTGTATAGTTTAGAAATAACCGAGTGAGATCACTTATCGTTTTCACCCTGTATACCACGAACTGCGCGATTTGGTACATCTTTTTTATTACATTACTAACTTTTGCACGCGGCTTCACAGGCGTGAAATTCAGTTTCACAGATCGTCGTAAATTATAGCTTACAATACTTACATATATTATTCTGGGTTATAAACAATAATACTGTAAAGTTTCATCAAAATCCGTTCAGCAGTTTTTGCGTGAAAGAGTAACAAACATCCAGACATCCATACAAACTTTCACATTTATAATATTAGCAGGATCAATAAAATTGTCCAATAATTATATTATTATGTCAACCATACCAACTATAGACTATATTAAATTCTTTAAAAAAATGTCATACATTAATTACATTTTATTTTTTTACTGGTTATTTTCTACTTCAGTGTACTTCGGTACAACAAATTTCAACCGGTTCGTGTGTAAAGTTAAGAAGGTCGTCGATAAGTATGAATCCGTCGCTTTTTTGTATGCATTCGAATTTGGTCGGATAACCAGCCGGTATTTACAATTTGATATTTTTATGCATATCTTTTTTTAAGCGATACATTCTAAGTTGAATATTGTATTTTATATTTGTTCAATAAACGCTCTAATTATACGGTTAACATCCGCTCATCTTGGTGTAGCTGATTCCTTGTATTTTGACGTCAAAGTTATAGCTCCGTCGTAATTACTTTTAGTGATATTATTCAATGACCCATGAATGTGCGTTTTTGAAACTTTCTATGGTTATAATACGTCTTAAGAAGGATCGAATACAGTTTTCAGTGACCTTGTATGTTTTGTTATTCAGGCGCTACACGATTTTTTCGGATTTTGAAGAAAGCTCGATTACTTGATATTTATAAATATTTTCATAAACATGTTTCTTTCACATATACGCACAAATCAAGAGCTACTCGTGAGTGTTTATTCTATAGGCGCACATATAACGGTTCTTGAGATAGAGCATTCTGCAAAACGTTACCCTGGCAGGAAATGCAATATCTCGAAAACCTGAAGACGCTCAAATCACATTTTCAGCTCACATAATAGAACAAATATAAGCTATCTGCTCGTACACAGTTTTTCTCTTTCCGATCATTCGTTTAGAATTTTCCTGCTAGAAAAACGTTACTCCAGCAGGAATCGTTTTTTTCGTTTTGTACCAAAACGACAGCACGCACTAATCTCTAATTCGGCGCACATTTACACCATGTTGGGAACTAATTATACGTTCTACTCATATCACTCTAGGAGCTACTTTCCAGCTGGAGTAACGTACTCTTGCCTAAGTATCTGGCTATAATTGCTGCGTTTGGAGTTTATTTGTACTTTTTCTTACTAATATTATTTATTGTACCTACATGATCGCTTTCGTTTATCTGTAAACAAACTTTTGAAAATAATGACTAGATTTCGAGTTTAGAGCACTTTATTAAAAAAAAAAAACGAACTCAATTTTTTTTTTTTCATATTTTAGGGATAGTACATTAGTAGAGTTACCTCCCCTAGCAGTTATTCACCCATTCTGGGACACCCTGTATACGTAAATCCACTTGTTGTTATTTTTGCAACTGGAGGTTTTCTGAAAGTTAGGTTTGCGGAATGTTAGTAGGACCCGCCCAGGAAATGTTAGGTACTTCTTGAAACCTAACTACCTACATTAGGTAGTTACCTACCTCTTGAACCTAACTACACTCGGCGTCAAAAAAGGGTCTCGCACCTCCCGCCGACGAAGCAAAATAACGTATGCATCCCCTCTTCCCACCATGGTCTGCGCTATATATTATCTGTGTCTGCGTCTACTGATGATACAATAATTGATGTGTCCACGTGGGAATGTGTCTGATTGAAAATGTGTCCCGTTGAAATTGTGTCTCGTTGGAACCAAATCAATAATACTGTAGCTCGTGAAGCATAAACACGTTAAGCGCATTGCCGGAATATTTTTTTTATAAAAAAAGTAAAATGTCACTGTCACATTTCTTGGGATTTGTTCCTTTTCAGTAGTAAAGTTCTACTTTTCTACAATCGTTTCTATAGGACTAAAAATTGTATTGGAATAGAGATATCAAAAGTATATATTCTATCTCATCATAACGAAAGTAAAAAAATCAAGTAGGTAGGTTTTTTCTGATTGACATTGTCAGACATTGTTCTCATTTTGTCAAAAGTCAAAACAAAAGGAATTTGTTGGAAAAGAATCCGACAAAATGTCTGCTGCACGGCAAGCAATAAAAGTTGGCACGAAGAATGTGAGACCAGTGCTTTCTGTGACTCCTGCTGAAGCTAAAAGGAGAGTACTAAACCTCTACAAAGCTTGGTATCGTCAAGTTCCTTACTTAGGTTAGTGGCCTGTTATGTCATACTTTGCCATTCCTATCCACATACATTTATTTTATATCATCTTAATAGCTAAACAGAAACAAATATTTGCTTTAAATTATGATTAGCAAGCTATATTTTTGGTTATTTATTTATTATTTAAATCTTTGGACAATTTCACACGTCGCCAGCTAGCCCCAAAGTAAGCAACTTAAATGCTTGTGTTATGGGAGCTAGCTTAGCTTAGTTAGGATTTTAGGTTTTATTACTTAGTACACAATAGAGTTTCAATACCAATGTTTAGTTGTGATTCCATAATCTACACCAGCCAAGCTAGGCTGGCAGCATAGCTGTGCTCAATATTATTATGTACTATTATTACTTATTTATAATTTGATAATGTTATTGTTTTTAATAATACTGAAAATATTATGTTTCAGTTAAGGATTATGACATGCCAAAGTCGGAGGACCAGTGCAGAGCTAAGCTGAAGGAGATGTTCCGAGCGAACAAACACGTCACTGATATCCGGGTTATTGATATGCTTGTTATCAAGGTACGAAATACTAATGCCACAATAATCATTTTACTATGATTTAACCTTTATTTGTATGAAATTTTAATAGCTAAATATTTAACAAATAATATGTTGAAAATATATCATATAAGTTTTTAAACTGTTACTTTAAATTTGCCTATTCTAATTAATACAGGAGTTTTTACATTTTTACAGGGTCAAATGGAACTAAAGGAAGCAGTGAACATGTGGAAACAAAAAGGCCACATGATGGCCTATTTCAAACCCACTGAAGAACCCAAACCTAAAGATTTCCTATCTAAATTCTTTGCTTCAAATGAATAAATCACTTTCATTATCAGTTTGTATAGTGTATAAATGATTATTTTAATAGTTCAAAATGTTACATTAAACCAATAGATTGAATAATATTAAATTATTCTTTCATTTCTCAAAGAAATGGATAGATATTCATAATATTATGCTTAAGTAGTTTGATAACAATTGTAGAAAATACAAACATGGGTATTTTGGATATCCCTGCTAGATGTAAAGGTTTTTGCAGACCCAACTTTCGCCACTACAATGCCTGCCACGAGTTTTAGCGGAGACCCTAAGGTTCGCTAGCACGGCGCAGTTTATCTAATCTAAATGTAACAGTAGGTAGGTACCTACTGTGTAAAATTGACAAATTAAATAAAGGTTGCATTAGTTTTGAGTTTTGCCAATAAAAAAGTTCATGAATGTCAGTTTTGACAACAAAGCCAAAGTTCTAATTTGATTGTAACCAAAAATATTGAAGCAAAATCCTCGATTTATCAATAAATTTATTAGCAAACTTATCTGAAAATGGCTGGAGCTGCGCGCGAAACCGTACGTGCTGCATGCAGGGAAGTGAGGCCAATCATGTCGACCGATTTTTGGGAAGCTCGCAGACGAGTCCTTGGACTATACAAAGCGTTTTATCGCTATGTTCCATACATAAGTAAAAGCTTTTTAAATTATATCAGTAGACTATAATTATCTTATATTTGTACATATTGTGGTCTCCTCGTTTTTTTTTTAATTCGCTGTTTTGTTTCCGAGGAAGCAAAACCTCGACAGGCTTAGTTATTGATAATCATATTAACTAAATAAATAATAATAATATCCTTGGACATTTTACACTGCGCTTCTAGTCCCAAACTAAGCAAAGCTTGTACTATGGGTACTAGACAACGGATATAAACATAATAATAAATAATAATAATAAATCTTTAGACAATTTCACACAGCGCCAGCTAGCCCCAAAGTAAGCAACTTAATGCTTGTGTTATGGGTGCTAGCTTAACGGATATACTACTTATATACTTTTTTTTTTAAATACATAAATATTATACATAGTCACACCCAGACCCGTCACAGAAATTAAAATTCATCATTTCAATTTCTGCCCGGCCGGGAATCGAACCCGGGACCTCTCGGCATAGTAGTCCGTTCTGAACCACTACACCAAACGGCCGACATACTTAAATACTTTTTTTTTTGTAAATACATACATATTATACATAGAAAACACCCAGTCCAATACAAACAAATATGTTAATGCCCACAAATGTTTGTACTGTGTGGGAATCGAACCCGCAACCTCTGGAATAGTAGTCCGTTTCAAACCACTACACCAAACGGCCGACAACTCCTTTACTTTTTATCACTGTACCATGTGACCATCAGATCAGGAGACTGTTCACCTGCAGTTCGCAGGATGGTTGCGTGCCTGCAAAAAGGTGTTGACTTTAATTTCCCTTTCCAGTCAAGTACTTCGACGTCCCCAAAACGGAGCAGGACTGTCGTTGCAAAATCCGAGAGTACTTTTATAAGAACGCCTGCGTGACGGACATTCGTGTCATTGACATTTTGGTGCTTAAGGTAAGATCATAAGCTGTACCACTTCACAGGACCAAACTGCAGTTCGTTCGTTTCAGCCAAATGACGTCCACTGCTGGACAAAGGTCTCCCCCAAGGTTTTCCACAATGAACGGTCCTGCGCTGCCCACATCCAGGCTCTTCCCGCGACCTTTACCAGATCCTCCGTCCACCTAGTAGGAGGCCTGCCCACGCTACGTCTTCCAGCAGCAGTACCTAATGCAAATAAGTAATTATTGTGGATTCCGGGTTCCCGCACTTACGGACTGCTATGATATGTTCCTTGCTGCCATGCCTGCTGTGGTTGGGGATTCCCAAATGGTAATGCGATGAGCACGTTTGTGTATTGTCTTGTTTATTCAATACACATCCAACACCCAGAATAAGAAACCATTTGGTTTATTGTAGTATATTTTTGTGTAAACATCGTTTATCCAATTGACCCAATCAAGAATCGAACCTGAGACATTGGATTTTAGTTCTTTGTATTTTTATAGGGTTACATGGAACTAAAAGAAATAACTCATTCGTGGGCACAGAAAGGTCACATAATGGCATATTGGCAGCCAACGTTGGAGCCGAAGCCGTGCGATTTCATTGGCAAGTTCTTGAATGGAGTGGATTAATAATAATAATTTTGAATTTATTAATATAAAATCTTTTGACACTGATTATTAGGTACCTACTGTTTATTAATAAAAACATACCTAAGTAACTTAACTTACGTAATTTTAATGGTAATTTAAATACCTACCTACTTCCGGATCTGGAATTGGTCACCGGAAATCATTAATCATCACTTACCATCAGGTGAGATACAGGCCAAGAGCTTCCTCGTTGTGGATAAAAAAAGAATCTCGATTCTCACTCGTTTTCAATAAAATTATTTCAATTGGTGGCTGGGCATCGAACCTCGGACCTTCGTAATCTATGTATATTCTATAGAGACGAATACTCTAACCACTAAGCCACGAAATCACAATTAGTGAAGGTAATATAGCTATTAGATCGTTAGATAAGGAAACTGAAGGAAATGGAAACTAGAGACTAGGAAGAAAATCAATTAGTCTACAGTCATCCTCCTACGTAGATAAGTAGTGCGATAAGTAAAATGCTATTAAAAATTCATAACAATTTCCAATTTTATTGATCACGTACATTCCAAATCACTTGCCTTCCAAAGGCTCATTGACTATTCAATAAACATAGGTAGGCATTTATTTATTTTTCTATTTTAAGATCGTGTTAAAATAATAGTTAACATTGAAACTAATGTAACACAAGTGCGTAACAAATAAACAAGTAGTAAATTATAGTTCACAACCATAAAATTACAATATTTTATGATAAATTATTGTACAGTATAATCCTCCTGTTATAAAAAGAACATTCTACAGGAAATCTAGGATCTATAAAATAAATCATTAGAAACTTTATAATATCGGCCACGCTGTCATTAGACTATATTATTATCTTAAATATTAATATATTTATGGAAGATCCACGATGAACCGTAAACAACGTACAAAAACTTTTGTCTTTTCAGATAAATATGTTATAAATTCCCAATGACAAAAAATAATCCTGATTAGGTATGAAGTGTTAGGTATCTAAAATAAAAAGTGGCAACTTAATAATAGTTAGGTAATTCTGGTAGAGTTAATGAACCGATTTTTCAATCGTCAAATAATAAGTACCTATGTAATTTGAAGTAATTTATGTCAGAAAGTAGGAATTAGGTAAAATCTGTTTTTCAGTTAAAAGGACTTGAATGCTTAGCAGATAAGTAGATATGAAAATAATCTGCTAAAAAGGGTCTCTCTTCCGATAAAAATTAAGGCGACAGAAAAATCGGTCCTACGTGTTTTATTGTATTCGGGGAAGTCATTTTTGTACACTCATCTGTTTAGCGTAATAGATATTAATGATTACGGACGTTAAACGTTATTATTTGTTCCCTCCTTGCAATAAATACAGTACTATCCGTTCGCGATAAGTTTGCCGCTGGCGATATGACGTCACTCGAAGTAATGCGTCAATAACTTTAGCAAACTATTTTGAAAATATTTTTTATTTATTAATATTGATAAAAATTGAGTATTTGCGTAAAATAAAACACTTAATTGCGTTTAATCACTAACAAATTGCGTTTTATCGCGGTTGGAGAAGGGGACGCGCATTCCACGGACCGGCAAACTTAGCGCGAACGGGTAGTAAGTACAAAAGTAAATATTTCTATTTACCAAGTACGTTTGAGCCCCACACATACAATCTCATACACATTTATTTAAAGAGTGGAGATATAAATAAATAGATATACACTTCCATTTAATAAGTAATGCATGATTAAATACTACCCTAAATTAGTTACACTACGTCGTTAATTTTATTAATATTGAAAGTAGGTACTTTATGTACAGTCGCAGAATGAAAAGGTTCGTCACCTTAGTGTCGGTTTTCGCTTGCACTAGGTACTGTAAGAGTCAAATCTGCCAACATAACAGGGCAAGAAACAGTGCTGCTAACATTTAAATAAAAATGACGTTTGCTAACGAATAAGGTTTTGCTTGTTTATTTTTCTATCCCATCTGCATCAGTGCAATCAATGTTACAAAATGTAGTTTTTTTTTTAATAGAAATAATAATGGCAGGTTGAACCAACAAGAAGGTTTTAGTTTATCAATCATAATAATCTTCTTGACAAGATAAATCGTCAAACAACTTTGATCTGAATAATTTTGAACTTTACTGACGAACAGTTAAAGATTATTTTCTCTAACTCGAGATTATTCTGTAACATAGTTTCAAAAGGTAATATGTGCTCGCGATTCGTTGAAGGAATCAATTTGAAAACTGACGAACCTTTTCATTCCGTGACTGTACATAATTATACAGATAGTATAATAAATAAGTAATTAATAATCTCTTCCATTGTACAAGTGTATGGATATAATATAATATTGGTGTAGTTTTTGTATTTAAAAACTGCTTTTAAAAAAATACCAAGGTAAACTTTCATTTAAAACATTATGTCAAAAAAGAACACTTTAGTGTCTTAAATAATTTAGCAAACGTTTGTTTCTCAAAAATATAAATCAAGATCTTCGACCATATCGATCTTGTACATAAAGTCTAAAATTAAATGGAAGAGTTCCCTAGAAACATACCGCCGCCTGATCGACCACAATGACCATCTCTTCACGGAGGATCAGCCATCAGGAGCACTTGACGGCGTGAAAATGTCTTTAAATACAGCATTAATTCTAGTGAGGTCTTGCTCGGTGAGGTTACAGCAACATTTTCACAAATTCTGAAAAATCAAAATAGATTGATCAGCTATGTAAACGTCAGTCAACAAGGGGTTAAAAAAATATATTGCGAAGTCCTAAAAATACAGATAATCTTTACCTCTCAATCAGAGAATACCTACTTGCCCACATTATTATCCCTGCCCTTAACAGTCTATAGCAGGATTATTGTCCGGGACGAGTAAAAGAGCTTCTTACGAGAAGGGCCTGTTTCTTCAATGATTGACCCTGACAATCTGATTGAACCTACTGTCAGAAAAATAAACTAAACCGAGTCTCTCTGACCACTCCCCAATAATTCTAAAGCACAAGAACTTTTTTTAAAAGGCAATTTTCATTCTGGTCTTGCTAGTATTGCCATACAAAATCTATGGGAGAGTCTCGTTTCGACAGTTTTAAAAAGTACGTCAATCGATTGGTGGTGGCAAATGCCCTATTTAAAAAAATGCATTTCCCGACTTACCTTCGTAATCGATCCGGCCGTCGTGGTCGATGTCGCCGAGCGCGAGCACTTGGTTGAGCTGCGCGTCGGTGACCGGCTCGCCGATCATCTCTAGCGCGGACCGGAGCTCGTCCCGCGTTATGTACCCGTTGTCGTCCCGGTCGAACACTCTGCAATTTGGAAATGGGACTGTTTAATGAACCAGAAATGAAGAGTTCCGCAGGAGAACCAAAGTGACCGACATAGCTCGTAGAATTGCTAAAATCAAGTGGCAGTGGGCGGGGCACATAGCTCGTAGAGACGATGGCCGTTGGGGCAGAAAAGTTCTCGATTGGCGACCACAGGCTGGAAGACGTAGCGTGGGCAGGCCTCCTACTAGGTGGACCGACGATCTGGTAAAGGTCGCGGGAAGAACCTGGATGCGGGCAGCGCAGGACCGTTCATTGTGGAAAACCTTGGGGGAGGCCTTTGTCCAGTAATGGGCGTCATTTGGCTGAAACGAACGAACGAACGAACTGTTTAATGCCAATAATAAAGAGATGAGGACATAGGCATTCGGCATTCTCAGCTTCTGAGCCAGAAGGGGACGGAAATCAGTTTTTTTTCATGTGAATCCCCTGCACTTGCTGTTAGCGCGACAATTACGAAATAAGGCAGAAACCCTTTGCGACCTGCGGACATCACGTATCAACATGGAAAGAGAAAAGAGTCCTCTAAGTAAAAACTAGAGAAACTTCTTTCAAAAAATGCTACGAACTCTACAACTTCTACGGTGCTACGACGCTACGAGACCGTAGTAGCTCTGAAATTTAGCTTCAAAATAAAACTCCATAATAGTTTAGGTTTTTTCAATGTAATTTGCAATAAATCAGGTCCTTACTCTTAGACACTTAATTATAGACAAAAACATAAAGCAGCAGCACATAAGGCAGCTACTCTAATGCTACTTTTCCTGCTGGCACCATCACCACGATAAGAGAAAAGAGTCAAATGGTATATCTCAGAATATCAAAGAGCTAAAAGCTACAACTTCTACGCTGCTACGACGCTACGAAACCGTAAGGACTTGGCTCTCAAAAATTGAGCTCCAAGATAGAGTTCAGGTTTTTTCACAGTAGCTATATTAGTCAATTCAATGGGTAGTTTAGGTAAAATATTTTTTCACTAAAGGTTTGCAGTAAATAAAAAATATTCTTACTTAAACGCTGCAAGTAAGTCCCGAGTAATCTCCTCCTCGGAGTCCCCCCCACTCGTGGTGACGTCCATGCCTTGTATCGCTTGTATCTTCGTCACCCATTGCATGAAATCATTCTCGTCTATTAGACCATTACCTGAAACAACAAAAAAAGTAACTTAAAAAATTATTTTTCTGATAAACATCGCTCAGGAAAGTTCACGAATATTTTCGAAGAATGCAATTCTTCAGAAACGAAGCTTCTATTCAACCTCATTTCTTTTATGGAGCAAAAAGTTCCAACTCACTATAGTAGTACGTCTTCATCGCGTGCTTCGCAGCCATAGAAATGTAGAAAAACGAATCGAAGGAAAACAAACGCGGTTGGTTTGGTATCGTTTGTCTGCAAAATGACTTTTATTTCTTCATTTTGTGCGTCTGCCGGTAACATTATTGCCGCTGCGATCAACAAAAGTATTATAAGTAATGTGTAACAAAATTTAATGCGACAATCACCGAAAGGGCTCCGTCGTTAAATCTTAATTAACGCAATGGTTGGGGTCATTAAAGTCATGACGTCAACCCTCGCTCGCTTACGGTTAGCTTTCAGTTAATTATACCGGCGATTATCAATATTTACTCGTGAAGCGTTATTTACTAAGTTTATTAAGACAATGTTGTAGGTTTACTTCTATTTATTAACCGCATTAATTACTTATGGGCACGTTTACCCAAAATTAACGACAGTTCTTAATAATAAGTAAGATTGATCGCTATCGATTGCTTTAGAAAGAAAGAAACATTTATTGCCATGGACATTACAAAAGACAAAAGATGTAAATAAAAAAAAGCAAATAAGACAGAGGTGACATAAAACATACAATGGAAGAGAAAGTAAACTGAGCAGTGCCACCCTGTCGCACAGCGATGCCCATCGCACATAAAAGTAAGTCAGTACCTACCTAAAGTAAAAACAATTGGTCAAAAATCATTACATCAACATGCAATCACCTCAACATAAAATTCAAATTAGAAATTAATTTAAAATTAAAATCCATTGGGAAAATTCAATGTTTTTGATAACTAAATAGATTACTGTCACTGCTGTGTTATTTACTGTTAATATTAAGAAACTATATTTTTTTATTTTATCGATAGAACTATCGACCTCCTTTCGCAGTCACCTATCGATAGTTATGCAACACTGGTGCTAACCTCATTACGTGCCTAGAGCTCGGATCAGATCGCCGATTAGCAGCGATGGTAGATAGGAGTTGACAGCCACCACCACCACCTTCTTATCATACCCATTGTCAAAGTTGAAAGTCATCACAGCCCTACAGCGTAATGTAATTACGGTGTCGACATTTCGCCAAAAAATCGCCCATGAATAAAATGTCACTTGCTAGTGAAAATCCGTTCAGTGGTCCAAAGAATAGATACCAGTTCTTGTTATAAACAAACACACTAACTTTACTTCTTAATAATATCAATCTAAGATTGTTAATTGAAGTTCATAACGATTAATAGCTGTAACTGTAACTTCATAATTTTGTTTGATTATCGTCGTAAGGGAATATTCATTCATGAAACAAATACCTACATAAATAAAGTAAGTTTTTTTCGGTAGTCTTAGTTAAATTAAAGGTAACATTAAAATGAGGATACTTTATTTATGTTTTTAAAAGTTAGTGTAGGTAATCCGGTAATCTTTAGAGATTAGTAGGAACTTTCAAAACTGTCACAAGGCAAATATAAATTAATCCCAATAATTAACACTAAATCAATGATTACTTCGAAGACGTACGAAAATGTAAGCAATATGTTGTTTGGTGCTGGCACTATAATCGTAACCTTGCACGGCCGAGGTCGCCGGAAGCGCGCGCGCCCTACGCCGCCCGCCCGCCCTACGCCGCACGCCATTTTACAATAACCCCACTGTAATTCAGCATGTATAAATTAACCGTCCGATCGACTGATTAACGTTAACTTATGTTTTAACATTCAAGTAACGTGATATTTAGTTTTTGTGCTTTTTAAAAGTTATAAATAAATACAGTTAAAACGGATTCGGAATGCGATAACATATTTCATAGGTCAAATACATAAGTTTTCATACAGCTGAAAGTCTAGCCTGTGACTTTCAACTGTATAATAAACACATTACCACTCCTTTGCGTCGCGCAGTCGGGTAAAAAATAGTTCTATTCACGCATGGAGCATGTTTTAGCTATTTTTATTGCATTGAAATTAAGGATTTGACAAAATACAGGGTGGAAACGTTAAGTGATCTCACTCGATTATTTCTAAACTATACAAGATATCGAAAAACTGATTACTGATTCTGAAAGTGCTTCACAAGCTCTTTTAAACGGTACCAATAATAGGTTACAGAATAAACTGGATCTATCCGAAAATTAAATTTTTCCAGCTTCCATACATTTAGTAAAACCACATAATATTAAAAACTATACAACATATTCAAAAACTGGTTACTGATCCTGAAAGTGCTTCACGAGCTCTATCCAACGGTACCAATAATAGGTTACAAAATAAACTGGATCCATTCGAAAATTCAATGTTTCCAGCTTCCATACATTTAGTACAGCCACAGTCATGGCACTCATGTCTTGTTAATATTATAGCAAGTAAAGCCTAAAATCAATGTTTTCCAAGAATAATTTTAAATAAGATTGCAATTTACGAGTTCATTTTAAGTGTTTATTATTTAATAAAAAAAAAATATACTTCTATTATTGTTTGGCTGGCATACATGTAGTATGGAGGCTGAAAACATTAAATTTTCGGATAGATCCAGTTAATTCTGTAACCTAATATTGGTACCGTTGGTTAGAGCTCGTGAAGCACTTTCAGGATCAGTAACCTGTTTTTCGATATCTTGTATAGTTAAGAAATAATCGAATGAGATCACGTCTTATCGTTTCCACCCTGTATATACCAATAGGACCGCAGTATTACATCACTTAAAAGTAAAATTGCTAAATGAAATAAGTTTGTATAATTAGTTAATAATACCTCTCGCATGAATCAGCACTAGCAAGTTTAAAAGTTTTCACACTAAATTAAAATTGTGACAAACACTCGTAGCAATTGCTGTTTGTGTTCCAATTCCACGAGTGGTGGCCTATATAACTGAATATAATGGCTTCAAAGGCCAAACTTAATATCGAATACTAGGAGAGATAATTTTAAACAATCGCGTATCACCTGTCTATAAAATCTTTGAAAGTCTAACATTGCGCCATTACTCCTCCGTGCCAACAACAATACGGATACGGCTTAAGTAAACGTAAACAAGATAATTTTAGCGGGTTGACGACTCACTGGCCTGCTGTATCATCTGTTCCTACTGACAGAGGCAAAACTTTCCTCTATAGAAGATCGCGTCGTGATTTTCAATAACAAAAACACGTGCTCATTTTTGGCAAGAATTCAAATCAAAGCAAAGAATGAGTGGCAAAACTTATTCCTGCAGTAAGGACACAATTTATTTTTATAATGCTATTTTGACCGGGGTATTGCATGTTGTACGATGGCTGGCTACACGATTGACCCGCTTGAAGGAATTCCACGGCAGCGGTGACATTCAGCTTCAACTATTCCTGTGACCTTCACCTTATCCCTTGAACTTCCGTCGAGTTTACCACAGATTATCTCCGGCCGTATGCAATTCTATTTACAGATACAAACTTTATTCCCTTTAGGGCTGATTTTTCAATCGTCGGATAACTTTTAACTAAAGAATAAATTTGACACATTGGCAGTTTCAGTATGAGAAACATGTCAAAATGACAATTTTATTCTTCGGTTAAAAGTTATCCGACGATTGAAAAATCGGCCCTTAATTAATGATTTGTTATAATTTGAACCTTGTCCAAATGAAGCTAGCCGCATGTTATTTTATTAATTTATTTAATAAAGACACTGCAGATTAACAATGTCTGTTTTGTAATTCTTGACTGTCAATACTCTAATCTGTAAAAGTATATAATATATTAGGTAGGTATCACTAATAACCGCTTCGCGTGCCAACTAATTAAATCAATGCAATAAATTTTAAAGAAAATGAATACCTACTAATCATTTCAAGATGCTAAAAATATTTTGATAAGATATTCATCATTATAAATGAAACGTTAATTTCAACACATTTTTGCTAACATTTGCTACAGACAGACACGATTGTTTTTATCCACTTGGTGATCATCATCATCATCATCATCATTTCAGCCACTCAGCCACAGGACGTCTACTGCTGAACATAAGCCTCAATAATTTTCAGATTGGCTTGTTGATTAATTGATTGGTGATATGATTCCTTTGTTTTGGTTTTTTTAGTGTAGATATTAACGTCACTTTGGCGGAATTCATTGGGGAGTAGACTGGGTTATAATATCCCAGTGGAAAGCGCAGCGTAGGACCTCCACCCATAAGGTGGACAGACAACCTCATAAAGGTAGCAGTAAGGCGCTGGATACAGTTCGCTACTAACGGGTCATTATGGAAATCATTGGGGGAGGCCTTTGTTCAGCAGTGGAAGCTGATGATGATGATGAATATTCCAGAACTGGCCTTAAAAAATAAGAAGAAGAAGACAATATAAAGTGAAAAGAAGATCAACGAGTTTCTTCTACTTACCAGTTTTACTGGCATCCTTGATGAGTTCCGATATGAGGTCGTCGCTGACCTCGATGCCGAGGTTCCGCAGCATGAACTGCAGCTCAGCTGGCGTCACGTGACCGTCGCTGTCGCGGTCCAGCAGACCGAATGCTGTTCGGAGGTCTGGAAACAAATGTACAAATAATTTAATAAATGCCAAACATAGCATACTTTATTGTGATTGTTTCGAACTACAAGACTCACTCATCACGCGAGAACTCAGAAGTAAAACAAAGACAATAAAAAAGTACTGCGTAAGAAAAGATCTAGGCATATTTTCAAATCAACCCTATCTGGAATCAAAACTGGGAATGGGAAACTCCCACATTCAGGTGCTTCATTATCAACAGCCCGTTACAGTCCACTGCTGGACTGGATGAGCCTCCTCTATTCAACATTCAAGATGAATGAGTACTTAGGGGGTTTCTATCAGGATAATCAAATTTGTATAATTTATTCATCAAGCGGATAAAGACTTTAAGAGGCACTATAATTTGTAGGGTTTATTTTTTGCTATAGTTATTTTTACTTATAAATGGTAAAATATTTTCATACCTTATTCCTTTTGGATGTTACCAAACAATCATAATACTTTACCGCACCACTAAGGCATATTACATGCTCTAATATTAACACCTTTGCTGCGGCAGTAACTTTCTAATACTTTCCATTCCTTCGGTACAAGGTCAGTAAACCTGGTATTAAAACTTACATTGTGGCGGCACAAGGCTTAAAGACCTTGTAATATTTAAGATATATTAATTTTATTTTTGACTTCATGTTAATAGATATTGTGTTTTTTTTCTTTGAATATTAATAATAATGCATTTATTGACATACACCTGAAGGCGTTCGTGAATAACTTGTTTAGTATAAAAATTATAGCTATATTCAAAATACAAGGCTAATGCACCCTGTGCCGCACTGAAGTAGGGAAGTCTGGTGGGTATTCTAGGGATGTGAAATACAAATATCGATAGTTTAAACAAAGTAACAAACAAAGATGTTTTAATAATTTAGTCTAAATATTTTACAAATAAGACATACGTGCATAAATACATAAATAAGCTATATTTAAAGAAAACATATTATTTAATAACATTTAGTTACAATTTCAAATGTTTGTCACGAAAAATATTATTTAAATTAGCAATAAATCGTGTAGAAAATTAAATTATAATCAATTTGCAGTTTTGATTTTGTTTGTTTCTCTTGACGCCATGTCGACATGTGCGTTTCTTACGAATGCGAGGCAACACTGGCTGCACGAAGCTAGCGTGGGGTGCGGTACTAGGTGCGCAGGGTACAAGGTGCTTCGACCTGGTTTCGCATTGTGAAGACATTTTATTACTTCCGTGCGGTACCAGGTCTAAAAACCTGGTATTAAGGTAGGTACATCATTGGATTCTATTTTAAGAATACATCACAGATATATATTCATCACTTTTCTACACCGGACCCAATTGAAGTTATGCCTTTCGTACGACAAGGAAGTCTATAATTTTCTTAGCCGCACGGTAAGCGAGACGTACACAAGGTCTATAGACCTGGTTTCGCACTCAACGTGTTAATGCATACCTACCTGCGTGAAGAAAATGTAGGTTGGTAAAGTAATGAATCATCATTTTCAATATGCCACAATGTAAATAAACTTTCAAAACAATCCTTGTCTATTTGCTACGCCTAAGATTACTCACAGAAATCATTGTTCTTCACATTAGCCATTTCTCTGACGCTGCGATAATTTCACTAAACTTGAAAACAACGTCTCATTTTAAACTTATCAGCGCCGTATCTACGACAGGTGATTTAGTGAAAATGCCTGCTCGTCAGCGGTTCGGCACCATATAAGCGCGAGCACGGCAATATTGACAAAAGATTACGTGCATCATCATGCCTTTCTTATCGTGCTCTCGGCTTTACATCTCCGTTGTTAATAAATTTTCGATACGGCCTTATCTGTTGCAGGAAAATAATATTTCCAAGACTGTCACTGAAACGACGCTTGAAACTGGTCTCAAATTCAAGTACAGATCAATTAGCTTAAATCCATTCTTGAACTTAGGTTCAGAAGAAAGAGGTGTCGTTTTATAAAACGAACATTTGTCTTACATCCCCCACGCTTCTGCTGTTAATGAGTTTTCAATCTAATCTATTTGGGAAATTTCATAAATGTTGTCTTATTTTCAAAGATAAAAGTGGTAAGGCAATAATATCAGTACCACTTTATTGCGTATGAAAATAAATGTAGAGTCTTTTATGCTACATTATCTCTGGTGTCAGACTACTTACACCACGATGGTGGTGATAAATCTCTTTGAACGGGTAGAAACATTTAATTTGCTAGTCCATACAGTTTTCTATATTGCAGTTATTGAATTGAGAACCCCAGTATACAAATATTTACCACTATAATTATTATGTCTCGCACCTACTGTCTACTCCAGTTCCAATATTATGCCATAGAATTGACGAAGGTGCCTATCAAAAGAAATTATTATCTAAATGGGACGAATTTAAAAAAAGTAACAAAAAATGTACCTACTTCACAATAACGCTTCAAATTCAACAACTCTACGTTTTATAAATTCATTCACAGATGTACGCGTTTCACGTTATATCGTCGAATTATTTGCGAACTTTTTCCTGGAATCTGGATTTTTGCGAATGGACTCTTCCTATTTCCTTGGTTTAATTCCTCTGCTAAACGGTGCCAAACGATCCAACAACTATTAACATTTCAAAGCGTTTTAGAACTTGTACGTGTCGGTTTTAAATTCTGTAATAAATACCACATTCACACCTGTCCAACACAACATGATTTATTTAGTACAACGTTGTTACAAGATGACTAAGGAATTCCCCCGACTACGAATAAACAGTGTTATTTTTGCATAAAATATGAGACTTTACAGTATATTTGGACTATTGTTAACTAATTTAAATATGCACACAGTTTCGATATTTTTAGTATTTGTGTGTTAAAATAACATCTTTACTTTAGTTCTGGATGTAATAAGTATTTTATAATATTTAAATGGTTCCGTATGCGTAAGTTATTAAAATACCTACCTAATCATAAAGCTGCATTATTGTTATGGCTATACTTTTCAACCTTTTGTTTTTACTTATAGTAATGCATTTTCTCCACTTCAATTTCATCGAGACTTGGAAAGCAAGATTAAGTAATCTTTATTTAATTTCCGAATTTAGTTATTTTGATTTTTTGTAAACACATTCCATCTTTGTATGAATACATGAATAAAGCTTTATTTTTTAAATAAGCATGGTGCACAAATTAATCCAGTTAGTGGAAAGGAACTCTGAAACACAAGTAGGTAAAAGGAAGTCCCGTCTTTTATTCAACCTCATATTTAAAGTAAGCAGCCTGTATGTGCATAATATGCGGTAAAGATTTACCAAATAATGGGTCATGTACTCGTATGTAAGGTAAATTATAAATGTAGGTGTTTATTTAACATTTAATTAACACCTTGTCTGACTAATTATACCGAATTTTATTAACTAGTCCTTACCCGCGGCTCTCCTGCTTATTTTAAAATAAAAATACAACTGGAATATTTGTGATGGTGAGAACAATACCTACAAAAATATATATTTATTTAAGATAGGTGAAACACAGGGGAAAAGTCCTGAAAATGCAAATAAAATCCTGAAAATTATTCTACCTTACAAAATGGTACCCAATGTATGGCCACTTTAAATAAATTTTGCGATAATGATGCGAAGAGTGGGGAATGTTTGTGTCTGTCTTTAATGTTATTATCGTGTATCATATTTTACTATGTGATATGAAGTTCACAGAGCTGTGACATCGTCCACGGCCATTACCGCTCGCCTTGCAGTGCAGTGGTGCCAAGTACATACATTAGTTTCCCTATTAATTACTTGATTTGGCGGCGGCACCAAGGATTCTAAATATTAGAACTTCATTTGTTTTTTACAAAAGACAAAAGACGATAAATAAATATAGGTACAGCGTGCAATTAGAGAATTCAGTTATCTAAATTCAGCTGGGGATATCCCCGCTGATTTTATTTTATCGTTGAGACAAGGTTGACCTATTTTACAAAAAATATCTGTAAAGTAGATAATGGTTATTTTTCAGTTAGATTACAACTGGACAACTTGTTATGTAAAGTTTTTATTATCTTTGTTCATTGTATTTTTTGTGTCAATAGATTTTCTGTTTCTTTCAATAAAGTATTATTGTCGACTCCCAATCCTGACCAAATTAATTTCAGATTCCATTTACCTACTCGTTGTAATTTATTATCTCTCTAATTAGTATTTTCCGAGTCAGTAAAGTTATGTAAGACGTAATTTCATTCTTATTAATTTAACAAAAGACTGAATGGCCCTGTATCTTGGTTAGAACTTGGAAAATAAATTAATTTCCGTCGTGGTTCGAAGATTGTTTACATACTTACGTAGTGTGTGCTTTAGTTAATGACACCGTTAGATGTGATACGCCTTATCACGATAATAATAATATCAGCTAATAAGTACGAGATCGTGTGTCTAATAAACTTGTTAACAATGTCAACAAACAGATAACAATTATAGTGTTTTCTCATCATAAGTCACAACAATGAGACTTGTAGTCTTAATTAAGTATCAATTGGATAGTTGTAGTGTAGGTATACCTACCTATAGACTGCTTTATTTATTAACGAATATTGGGATGAAATAACTTGTTTTTTGTGGTAACAGAACTAACACAACATTCATTGATAGAGTAATTGATGTGATTACGAAAAACATACGATTACTTGGTTAAATAAACCATATTTGGCTATTACTGAAAGAATGGACATAATACTGATATAAAAATAGGTAATAAGATTACACTGAGAACTGTATTATTTTATTTTTTTTGTTCGCCAGTTAGTGGCTTTACATTTTAATATTTTATTCAGAACAACAAATTAAAGTACAGGTAATTTACAAACTTAAAAACTATACTATATACAAAAAATTATTTTATTAATCACGTATCTCTACTAACTTTAATCTAAGTATCTCTAATCTAAGTATCTCTACTAACTTTTACTTTTTATGCTCTATACAGGGTGTTAGGTAAATGGGTATATGAGCCGACACTAGCCCATGTTAACTTGGACATATAAATGGCAATGCCAGATTTTGTATGGAAAGTGGCGTCTTTTTTTTTTCGCGCGGCCATCGACCTACCTTTGTTTTTTTATTACAAAATAGTGTAATAAACCAAACTTACTATGGCATGTATACCTCTAAACTCAGTCTGAACTGAGTTACGAGCATTAGAAGTTTGATTTGTAAGAACTATTTCTTAGTCCAAACAAATAAAGAAATTTTGACTTTGACTTTGACTTTGATTATTTTCATACTAGATTTGCTTTTTGTGCGCAAGTTTTGTAAGAAATTGCAACAAAATATTGCGCTATTTTTTTATTGCGCTGATTCTGCTCCATACTTATGTCTGGAGCCTTTAATGGATGATATTGTTTGTTTACACATACAATCTCACTATTTTGTTGCAATTTCTTACAAAACTGCGCGCAAAAAGCAAATCTAGTATGAAAATCATCAAACTTCTAATGCTCGTAACTCAGTTTAGACTGAGTTTAGAGGTATACATGTCATAGTAAGTTTGGTTTATTACACTATTTTGTAATCAAAAAACAAAGTTTGGTCGATGGCCGCGCGAAAAAAAAAAGACGCCAATTTCCGGCATTGTCTTTTGATATCATCATTTTAATTTTTTAAATTTTCATACAAAATAAATTTTATAAAATCTGATTTGTATGAAAATTAAAATAATTAAAATGAAGATATCAATTTCTGACTTCACCATACCATTTATATGCCCATGTTAACATGGGTTAGTGTCGGCTCATATACCTACCCATTTACCTAACACCCTGTATACTATATACAAAAAAATATTTTATTAATCACGTAAATATCTAAGTATCTCTACTAACTTTTACTTTTTATACTCGTAATTAGTTTGCACTTATTTCTAAAGGTCCACATAGAATTAAATAATTGTGGATGTGTATAAAGTGCATGTTTTCCAAAATAAAAGAAAATCTTTATTGTTAGGTACGAGTAACTAGGTAGATATAAGAGCAATTGAGTGTTTACTTTCATCCATTATACGCCACGTTTCTTGTCAATCTTACTGAAATGTTACACGGTCGTTATTCGACACCTTTATGCTTTCGCCCTTTAGCTATTGCGATCGCATTAATGTGTTCATAGAAATGACAATGGCATCAAAGTTTTCATGAGCAAACAATGCCGTCCTACGGCGCGACTCACGCCCACTTTCAGGTGTAAATTACTGCGTAGGCAGACCGTTTTCACACTATCGGTCATTCAATACGCACAGTTACGAGTATTTACGCGATAACTGTAATACAGTGTGGGCGTTTAAGTATAAATTATTTGATAATTTCAACTTTATTTACGAGTACCTACTTCCTCGCGAAAATTTATCAGTGAAGACGCTAGAGATAATTGGCTGAGCGTGGCTCGTGCCATACATTTTTATATCACTTTTATTCAAATAAAAGTCATAAACTCGAAAATTTAAAAGAGATCCTAGCCTTCGACAATTATTGGATTCAGAGGTTAAAAATGTGAAGCTGTAAATATCCACTGGCAGCTAAACGTTTTGATGAAAATTGTGATTTATTTTTGTAAATATTTACTTACTGTTGAGCATTGCCTCACTGGGGGCGGGCACCGTGGGCCGCTCGTCCACTGGCGACTGCTTCTTCTTGCTTTTCTTCTCATCCTCCTGCTGCAACAAAGCACCACTGTTATCCGACATGCACTCTATTTTTCCAACACTGTAATCGTCAACTCCGCGCAATACGGCAATGGCGGCAACAAAACATAGTCAACTAATATTATAGAAAATATTGATACTGATTTTATATCAATTCGCCAACCTTATCATCTTGTCATGAGTTTTATCGGACTATTGTCTGATCAATAAAGCGCACTTATCTAAAAGTATTCAATAACAAGTAATACAGTTCGAAAACTGTATAAAAACTGTTTCAAGTCGAAAACAGGAGTTTTAACTTTTGCAGTTAATTAATTAGTTAGTTTATAGTAGTTCCACCTAACAAACTTATTTATTTAACATCGCGGGATAATAGTCTCGATGTTTTGAAATATTCGCATTTTCAGTCCTTCGCAAAAACAAATTCACAAAACAAAGTCGATCGATAGCAGCGTTGCTAGGCGTCCCGATTTTTTAATCAAATTTAAATGTCCCGCGCGGGACAGGCTCGGTCCCGCTTTTCGGAGAGAAACACTCACTTCACCAGACTATTGTTTGAAACGCCATATTATTGTAAATAATACAACTATTTAATTTTTTTTTTTTTTTTTTTTTTTATTCTAAATTTTAGGGAGGGTTTCTTCTGAAAGAAGATGGCACCCTCATAGAACTCACACATGATCAACACTATAATCTAACTTACATTATGACGTCGTCTTATCGCTATTTTTACAAGAGAGTACAGTTTTAATGCATTATCGGAAAGCGGGTTAGCTAGAATACTATTACAAATACCAATCTCATTTACATAGTTAATTTCATGAAAGAATTGTACTCTCTCAGGCTCGTTCCTGACACACTCCATCATGATGTGATGCGCGTCCTCTATGACGTTACATTCGTCACACATAGGCGATGGTGTTTTTTTCATAAGAAATCCAAAACTGTTTAAGGGTATATGTCCGGAACGAAGTCTAAGAGCCAAGACAATATCATCCCTGCCCATACCCGTGCCAACAAACCAAGGACATCTGCACAGGACAGGTTGAATTGTTCTGTACCAGATGCCCTTAGAGAGTGACCAACTTTTTTAATTTCGATATTTTTTCTTTTTTTATTCTAAATACGAATTTAATGATAGAGTAAATCTGTACCTCTAGCATGAACAACTTTCGTCTTCGAATCGTTTGCGTATCCGATAAAATTCGATACTCAACCTTCAAATTAAACGATAACGTGACAATTTTGATTCTCAAAATAAGTTTCGTGCAACCATTTCTTACACTAAGTTCACTTTACGACACGTCCACAACGGTGCTGTTGTAGTTTTCGTACTAAATCTTTTGATGGCGATTTGAACTCGAAAGATTTTCGTGCTAGCCATACTGATTTAAAATATTATTTTTTTGTTAAAATACATTTTCTATGGCTACTTTTGCTATCTATTGTCACGTAAACGTAATTTTAAGTCAAATAAAAAGATAAATATTTGAAAACCTTTGATTATATACGTTTTTTTACTATGTCCCGCTTTTGACGGAAGAATCCCGCTATTTTCACTCAAAAAGTACCAAAGTCCCGACTTGGCGAAAAAAAAAACTGGCAACGCTGATCGATAGTGATTTATGGAATACTTTTTTACCTACCTATGTTAATACAAAATTGCATAATAGGCAAAATGCATAACTTTACGTTACGATATTATTAACATTCCTTATGCAAAAACTTTACAACAGCTATTATTATCCGATTTGCATAGTAGTAAAAAGTTTAGGTAGAGAAATTTCAGACGGTTGCGTTTTGGGTTGGTTGCACTTTAACAGCGTCTAATTATTCCCAGTTGTGGTAGAAATGAGCCTCGTTAAAATAATTTGTCTTGTTGGTTTGTCTTAAGTTAGGTATAAAATAAAACGTTACCGACAAAAACAAATATTTAGTGAAAAAAGTTAAGAACAATAAAATAGTTCTGAAAAATTTTATGTTTAAACCTGCACTGCACTTAGAGCTTTCTGCATGACAAGTTGACTGGCGAAGAATTCTTAGAGTATTAAGTCCACCTTTTGTGTATCTCTATTCAGCTGCTATAAAATGTATTGACACTTACCTTAAGTACCTACTAAGTTATGTCATTGTCTATAATAATTGAATTCCAATTAATTGAATCGAGCTTTCATGATTAATCTATTAATTGCTAGGTTGCTCATGGAAAGTTTCAGGTTTTAGTTAATCTGATGAGGCAGTTTAGGCACTCTTTACGTGTGAAACTAATATTTGCCTAGACCTAGGCCTAGACTCCACGGGACCATTTTGGTCACGTGTGACAGGCGACGGTCATCGAAATGTCAAATACTTAACCTACGTCTTCTAGGACTGATAAAGGGCATAGTAAAGTAACTTATTAAATCAAAGTCAGAATACAATTTTCACTGAAAAAGCTATCATCTACTAACTCTTTTTGCATATTTTTTACATTAAAATCTTAGAATTATCTAGATGCTCTAATAGGCACGTCTTAGTTACTTAGTTACAAACCGTAAAATATGCAATGTTAAAAATGTTTTTCAGTGTAACAATATTATGCTTGATGAAGCTTTTTGTATCGACCAGTCATACATCATAGTCAATCACAGTCACTGTAAGAAAACCTACCTACATTCTTTGTACGAAAATATTCTTACATTTTGTGTAAGAATTACTCGTAAATAATTAGCTCATTTTATTTCTTGACAACTGAACAACACGAATATTCCCGATATACCTAATAAAATATAACACTAGGTATGTTTTGATAGAGGAGATCTATGTTGACCTTGCAAAAATAATTGGCAGAATGATCAATACAGATCCACGTTATTTCGTGGAATTCCGGCTGGAAAATTGTTGCACACGTGACGATTGTTCCGAGGAAAATGTTTTATGTCGAATAATATGAAATACAGGGNTTGGTTTTACGAAGGTAATACGATAGAGAATAATACAAAGTAATAAAAACCACCAGTTATAGGGGCATTTTTTGGAGAAATTTACCAAATAACCAAAAAAACACGAATTTTTAAGCAGATTTTTTTCCAAAATTATCATTTTTTATTATTTGTTGGCCTTTTTTGTGTATTTTATGTATTTTTTTAGTATTGCCTGCTATTTAGCATTATTACTGTTTTTATTTTATCAGGATATACCGCTTAGTTTAAAAGTTATTACGTTTTCTTTACAATAAGTAATTGGAAGAAAAAAAATTCTATAAAAAATTTAAAAAAAATCTCAAAAAATTTTTGACCTCTTTTTTGTCGGTAAAAATAGGTCTAGTTTCATCTATTTTCATATGTACACTTTAACGTGACTCACACTGTATATAATAAATTAATAGCTACGTGATATTGACGAGACGATATTTTATTTATTTATTTATCAAGCCGGACGGTATGAAGAATTACTCGTAGTTCTCCAACGATCGATCTTTTGTAGGTATAATAATATGGTGTTTATGTAAGGTATGTTTAGCTTTATATGTTGTCGTCTGTACATCGATACGATTATATTGTTACTTTTTGGCACTTAAATACTAACACGTTACCCCTACCTATATCAAAGTCTGAGAAAGCATGTGGTTTAGATTAGATACCTAATTATATCAAATAATCTGTTTTGCAATTTTAGAGTGGCAATAAAGGGCCCGATGCCAAATCCTCTAACGCATCGGAATTCGTTGACTAACCAACCAATGATTCAAGGTTGGATGATTTCATAACGTTATAGTTTAACGACATAAAACTTTAACTCTATAGGCAAGTGGCTAGATTTGCTTAAAAACAACTACTCAAATCGGAAATAATCACAGTTCACGAGAGTTACCATGATTACCTAGTAAGGTTATCTTGTCAATTGAAGATAGATAGGTAATTTCAATTAATGTAAGAAAGGATATTGAAATACAGATAGTATATTTTGTAGATTCTGTTGCCGATTTCACAGCAGACAGCACACCAGACTACATTTTTGTTGCAATGTAGAGCTAACTATTACAATATTTACAATCATATAGAATGCCGCAATTTGTCGGAACAAAATCATTACAAAGACGACATCGCAAATTAGTCACCCGAGTCAGATAAACGTTCCAAATGCGACCAAACATGTAATGATGGCGGTGTGACTATGTGACCGTGTGAAGTTCGCGTAGAAATAGCATGTGCGACGCTTGGCACGCCGTCAAGCGCGCGTGGTCGCTCTTGCTTTGTGAAAAAATATGACATCCCGAACGCAAGGTAAATAAACCGTAGCGTGATATATCGCCGGCATAAAGACCGTGTACACAGCCATCTTCAAAGACACCCCCTAAATCAGCCGACTTAATTGTTAAACAAACACTCCCAACGCAAAACAAACCGCCGTTAGAGGCATTCTAAAACTGGCATCTACAAGCGTTATTGGTTTTCTGTCCGCTACATGAGACTTCAGTTTAATCGCTTACATAATTTTATTTCAGTGTTTATTCCTCGTGAGTAGTTATCGGACTCATTTATACAAGTTGCTTTATTAAGTGCATAATGAAACTGAAATGCATTTACATTAAACTTACCCTGCCAGTATTATTACCTCGAAGCATAAAGGTGCTCTTACCCGGGTAATTTTTGAACATTATAATTTCTCGGCGGCGATTATAGATCAATCTGGAGTAATTACAATAAATTGCGGCCACAGCTCTGCTAATATTGTTTCAACTTTCCATACACGTATTTCTCGATTGCTGAATATGCAAACATAGGAAACTTTTGGAATTTTTCTTTCAATTTTAGTTTGACTCTACCTACTTACTTTACACTTACTTCTAAAAATGTCTCATGTCAGTGTCTAAAAAGAACTCTTTATTTTCTTTGTTTTGGTCTGTGGTTGTATTTTTGAACAATCTGCGCTACTCCTCCTACTACAAAATTTTCCAGGATGTTGATCTTCAAGTTTGTAGTATGTAGATTAAACTCTACATAATTTATCTTTTGTAAGTACACGATAATCGATAAAAAGTTGATTTTTATCAACTGTTACACGTGTCTACCTGATTTCCGTTCATTCATGTGGTCCTAATAACTTTCGGGTACTGAAAGGCTTAAAGTTAAGATTAGATCTGATTCTAAATTGTAGTTACACAATAAATTGCTCAAATGACCAGAACAAGGTCGTTTTTGTGACTGTATTCGGTTATTGTCCGCAATACTCGTGTTCCGTATACAAAACAGTTTTTTTGACAATCTTGGGAAACTGTTTTTCAACTTAGCTAAAGTTAAATAGCTTCGAGTGGGTACTGAGAGGTACTTAGTTAAATCTTATTACTGTTTAACCCTTCTTTTGTACTCGTACATTTTAAACTAACTCCTACCTTTGTTTACCATCAAGTCTCTCTGTGTTACAGTTGCAAATATCACAAACAAATGTTAGCATTTCAATTTTCAGCAATGAATAGGCAAATTGAGGAGGATAGTGTAATTGAATTTATAAACCCGTGCAAAGCCCGAGCCCGACACTGCAATTCTGTGTGACATTCTATTACGTTGATAACCCAAATGGACAGTGGATGTAGGTACTTTGATACGAAATTAAGTATTCTATTTAAATATTAGTCTAAAAATCTACCTTTTCTCATATCATAAACTATGATATATACCAGTAGAACTATTCCACCATATAAGTATCCACATAAGTATTACCATCCATATTTTGTTTTCAGTACTCAAATCGAATCATTTTTTTCATTAAACTAGTATACCTACTACTAGAAATTGAAAGTTTTATTCGCTCAAAATGCTTATAACAATAATTGGTAATACATTTCAAATATTAAGTACCTTTATAATGTATCGATAGAACCAAAATGATATCCTCTCAGCTTGGAAAGGGAAAACCCAGGATTGGGGGAGCGCTCCAGGCAATTTTTAGAACATTTCATAGGTGGTAGTAAATAATATTTATTTTATTATTAAAATTGAATATTTTGATATTGATAAAATTGAATATATCTTTCGATTCAAATACCGAATATTTTTCAATCGATAATAATTATCGAGAATTGTTAATAATATTCAATTAAAAGTTGTTCAATCCCTAGTCATGCATAGACTAAGACGGTAACCATGGAGATAGTTAGTTTGGTAAGTCACGTGTTAAATGTCAAGAGTGGAAAGTAAACATAGGATTCATGTTATTTATTTACGTGCAAAATGTAAGTAAGTAAATCATAAAAGTGGAACGCCGAGCTATTTCCAAAACCCGTCCAATATTATAATACAATTTGGCTGCGACAACTACAATACAGAACATCTCCCAAATCGATGTGCATAAAATAATATAATACAATACTAGTAAGTAAGAGGTTATGATAACAATATTGCTATCAATAAGTTTATAGAATTGGTCCGCCAGGAATAATTGTTCTTACATAAAGATTTGTGTCATTTAGAACCTAGAAAGTATTATTTCGGCACTGTTGATCTAACGGCGAACAATGTATGGAGAACGAACATTGTCCTTTAAGCGGAGTGACCAACAAAACGCGCGGAATGCAGAATGTTTCGAATTACATAGTTGCGAGTGTTCACATACGTCCGCCGTTTACGCGGCGCTGTCAAACGAACGCGGCCTTTGAAGGATTCCGGGCGTGCTCGCCGTTTGACTCCTGTGTAGGGCACTGTTGTCCCTTTGAGCTATGTACGAGCAAATTACATATTACGATTTTGTTATCAGATTTTAGAATCTACATACACTACGAAAAATCATTGCTATTGGTTTGAAAGCTCTGATTTGAATTGGCTACACATAATATGGAAACATGGACCCAAACTTCTAAAGAACGATTGATTTAAACCAATACCCTAAAAACCAATTCGTTTTCTATTTATTACTGTTAAGATTTTAAATTGCTTTGAAATAAATAGTCAATTTAATTAGTGAATAGGTATTGTAGTCACAGGTTCCTATTGCTATATGAAATCTATGAAATAGTCGCATCAAAAGCATGTCGTTATCTATCTTAACGTTTACTAAATTACTACGTCTACAGTTACAAATAGTTAATACTTAAAGTATGCTTGTGGTATGCTAATGGATGAAGTAAAGTTAGTATTTACTAAGTTATTAAAATATGATGAAGTTGCTCACCTTTCTTCTACTCCTCGACGTAGTAGCCATTCCCTGGAAAATGAGAAAATATGGTGTGAAGGCAGTAGTCAAACATATTTACAAAATAATATACATCTTTTTAGTTCAATGACATAGGTATACCAACTTATCTTTCATAAATAATTTGTGATAACATTTGCATACTAAACAAATGTTGATAATTAGTTTAGTGATTGTCTTGGGAACAAACATTTACTTTCTCTAAACTAACTTTAAATCAGTTTTGGGAAAAGCCATTGCATGGTTCAACAAGTCCCACCAGCATTGATGCTGGAAAACAAATATTTGAAACATTTTTCAACAATGTTTTATACAATGAATCTATACTAATATTATAAATGCGAAAGTAACTCTGTCTGTCTGTCTGTCCTGCTTTCACGCCTAAACCACTGAACCGATTTTGATGAAAGGCATAGAGATAGTTTGAGTCCTGGGAAAGGACATAGAATAGTTCTTATCCCGGTTTTTGAAACAGGGACGCGCGCGATAAAGTTTTTCTGTGACAGACAAAATTAAACGCGGGTGAAGCCGCGGGCGGAAAGCTAGTTTCTTATAAATCCAATAATTTAACGTGTCAAGTTCATTAATAACTCGTCAAGCATTTAATTAATAAATGAAATGACATGTTTTAATAATGGTGTTTGATTGAACATTAATTATTACTTGAGATCAAAAGTTAACTTAAACTTTCTCTTCGTAGCTCTGCTACGAAAGTGCTACGGCGTAGTCACTTGCTTAGTACCTACGCGTTTAAGAACACGTAAAGCTTGTCGTAGCGCGTGAACTATGGGTAGAAATGAAAATCAGGATCAGGGTACTCAAACTGGGGTAACAGAGCCCTAGGGGGTTCGTCAAAAGATTTACCAAAAATCGATTCAATTTTCTGCTACAAGAATCCAGCCTAAGTAATAAACGTTCTAACAAACATTTTTTAATAATTAAGAAGTTCGCAGTGTTCTTGGTTTAAGGTTTGAAAAATCCTGTATCAGATTTATATCACTGTATTCTGTGCGTTCTGTGTCTTTCATGCTTCATGGAAAAGTGATCGTTTTGACTCTGTGACTTCGTAGGTACGCGTGGATCCCGTTTTACCCCGTTGAATTACCCCGCGGTTGAGTTTCGTAAAATTCGTTCCAGCACTAACGTTCTAAAAGGAACCCCATGCAAAATTAAAGAAAGAAAGAAAGAAAAAAAAATATCTTTCTTTCTTTCTTTCTTTCAAATTAATTTGAGTGAGACTCCTAGCACTTGTAGTTTCTGAGATTTCGTGATGAGTGAGTCAGACAATCGGTGACCTTTCGCTTTTATAAATCTAGATTACCTACTGTTTTATTGAACTTAAATAGGTAATAGTATAACATAATTTTGATATGTCTTCGTGCTTTTGGCAGCATTATCGCTGAGTCTACTCACACTAGCGTGAGTGTATTATAATATTCTGGCTTTTCCACTTGTACTGACCTCTGACTAATTTTGGTGCAAGACAGGAAACATTAATCAAAGCCCTGTCACTTTGCTACCTAGTACTTATCGATTCTCTAGCTTGCTCATCTAATTGCAAAGAAATAGAAAAGGGTGCTATGTATGTAATTGTATGAACACAAGAGAATCCCCGTAATTTGTGATCTTTCTAAGTTTTCTCGTATGATATTTATTTCTATAAATATTCATAGCTAAAGTACTTAATGTGCAAAGTAATACATATAAAGTAAACAACAAAGTTAATAAGCCCTACTAAAAGCCTTGCCAGTAACAACTATCATAGGTTTTTATGAATATTATGTACCTACTTCGTTACGAACCAAAATAATGTTAGCAGATAGACGTTCAGTTTTGAAAATTGGCTTTTTTCCAATATGAAGTGTGAAGTAAAATATTTTAAATGCTCTACATAACGGCCTTTAACGGCCCTTTGATGTAACACTAGGTATATTAACGTCCACCAATAAAATTCGGTAAAATGTGCTGCGGTTAATTATTGGGCATCAGCTCGTACGTTTAATGATACTCAAATTATAAATTCCTGTAATGGAAAAGTATTGTTTTTAAAATGCTCACATTAGCGTTAATTGGATAGAAAAACTATTGACGTATGGTTTAACGTTACCTAACATAATCACGGTAAGTAAACAGTATAAACTTACGTAGCGTCGTAACCGAAGTAACCCGACACGTAGCACCCCAACCATGCGAACCCACTGACACCGCGAGTTCATCTCCAGAACGGGGATTCTCGCAACGTGACCGTGTTTTTGATCCAGGACAGGTTACAATCAGAAATAGCAGAAGCACTGGTGCGTTTACGATTGTGTTCCCTATCTTCTATTTATAATACGAACCGAGCCGGGTGTGCTACCGTGACTTTGTTGCTTGACGACGGTGCAAGCTACAACAGTACTGGCATTGCTCATGTTCAGTTTTACAAATACGTTAAATTCTTTTTGTGTGTGTACCGGCACGCGTTGGATTGTATTCAACGCGCCAAACCTACACATTTCAGCGGCTATCGCCCCACTGACTAACAATCATAGATCGATGTATGAACGTGGTATTTGTCAGTCGTTTAGTAGGTAAGTCAAACAATCACTCAAATTGATGAGCCGACAAATTCAGAACCTTAATAACTTGAAAAGTATTTTTTAGGTCTTATTAACTACGACCGTACTTTTGGGTTTTTTTAGTCGAGTAATTTGGACTGAATTTAGTTCCATAAAAAAGTTCTGTTTGAGTCATAACACGACGACGCAAAAGTTGTGATTGATAAAACGTTTATTGCGTGAAGCAAATAACGCGACCTCAACTTATGAAATTACCGTCAATCTTATTGGTTTATTCAAATCAAATTAAAAATATTTATTTAGTTTAGACCAATATTTTGGCACATAAGCTTGATGATGCACTAGTAGTGTCCTTTGTAACAGTTGACTTGACAATATGAAACTTGATTAATGCTTTGTATTACAATTATTTTTTAAATGATCACAACAAAAGTACTTTTATGTGGTTACTTGGTTAGATTTTGTAGCAGCGAGCTGAAACTTATTTGAAATTCGTGTTGTAAGCAGAACGAAGTTACATCTCCCGGCCCACCTGTTCGAATAATCCAATGTTTGGGTTCGTGATTCTAATCGGAATTGACAACTTATGAATTTGAAACAAATTGCAAGGTTCCTTGGGTTGTTATTCTGTTTTTCCTCAGAATGGAGGCGGCACTCGTCGCGTGCCGGCGATCGATGCGGTCAACCCTTAGGAATGGTCCAACCTTGCACTCGGGCAATGATTTGGTTCAATGGAATTTCGACTCTACATACAGAATATGAGATCTATTCTAAATCATTCATCTTCAATCTTCATCATTTTTCATATGAGATGCTCTTCTTAGTACTGCGAAGCGTAGGAAGCGCTCAGTTCTCGGTACATGTCATTATTACGACCTACTTGTTATTTTTCATAAGTGCGTCTAATCGCGTGAGTCACCGCAGTTTTTGTGAGATGTCGGAGCGCAATGTGCCGGCTCATTATCCTATCGACAAAAACAAAGACGACACTAGCCGTAAGTCCCTAATGAACTAACTAGCAATGAAATTACCGGTCCACTAAGGCTACGTGACGCTCCGGAATACCTAATTTGAACTCGTCTCCAAACTTTAAGCAGCTCATAATACAATGCACGAAATTCGCTTTTTGCTCTATTGTAACGAAGTTTATTATTACTAATTGAAATATTCCATGAGTAATGAAATGAAAGTTGCTTTTTTTTAAGCTTTGCACATTCCAACGGTTCTAGTATGGATTTTATTCATGGACAGAGAATAAATAGCTGATAAAAAATAACATTGAACTTAAGCATTTAGGATACTTAAGATTTTTTGAATTTCTTTAACATAAAACAAAACAATTTTCTAGTACAAATTCATATTTAAATTCAAACTGTTAATTGCATGTCACATTAAAATGTATAGTGGTGTTACAATAGAGATACAGGTAGGCATGTGATGCCGGCAAAACATCAGAGATAGGGTTAGTTACAAAAACAATAATAGAGTTCAAATTGGTCCTTGTCTAGAATGTGGTGAAACAAACAATACTCGTAGTAGAGTCTGCTCTTAAGCGCTGCGCTCAGGGTTTACCTACAAAACCTAATTAGATAGCAGTCTGTTTAGCGCAGATTCAGCAACTCTCTTGGTTGTATAAGCATTAGTCGCAAACTAAGAACTTCGCTCTTTTAAACATCCCTGTTTAGTAAACTGTTGAGGCAAACCGTGCGAATGTTTTCGATGTATGTACCATAGCCGGCGCTTATCGAATTATCATTGTTACAAAATAAATGTTGATATTTTACGACTTCATTTTGTGAATGAGAAATAAGAATAAGTGTAGAAAAATGATCATATGAATTTGTGTAAGCATTTTCTCTTTTAATGAGCACCTAAGAACAATTCCGTTTAAAGTGTCTCTACATTAAAATGACAAAACTTGTTACACAAACAAACAAAAAGAAAGACTTTTTTAATAAACAGCTGACAAATAGAGCTGGAATAATGATATTTTTTTCCTATTAGGAAACTATCGCCAGCACTCTGTTTTGTTTACTTTAAGAACTGTTTTAATTAAAAAACCTGTTTCTCGTTATTGTATCAATGAAGCAGTTCGGAATTGCTTTTCAATGTAATATTAAAGCTCGTCTACACTAGTAAACATTACTTCTATAACCGCACTTTTTATGAATCAGTGATTTTTTGCACTAAAGTTAAATAAGCCTTATTTTTAAAAATAGTAAACATATTATTTAAAACACACTTCACACAAAGCCGCAGTTAACAGCACAATTAAAAGCATTGAAATTGGATTCACAGTTTAAAAATAGCTTTGATAATGAAGTTAATCTATCTTTGATGTACTTTTACCGTTTTTAATTTTCATTCAGTTTACGTGAAAAGTTAACATTTCAAACTTTCAAGTAACTAAAGTTTGTTGTATGTTACTAATTACCATTCAAATGTGCTGTTACCAGCGAAAGGAAAACGTTATTTTCGAAAAACGTGGTTAAGATTTGAACAGAAACTCCTGTTACCTATTGCAAAATAATCCACAATCATGGCACAATACTAATTCACTTCACATACACCAAAATCATATCACTTTTCCAATTTTCACTCAATCCAAAGGAGTACCTACCTACTTACCTACCTAATCATCTATCGGATGTAAACATGTCAATTACTAGGAGCACGCGGAATGCATATCAAGGCATACAGAAATAACTTGTATGTAACGTATGGGATGCCAAACATTTGGTGATAATGATGGTGATGGTATGTGACAACTCTAAAGTTTGGTACTAACAATTTGAAATTGTAGAGTCAAGCAAGTTCTGAACAGAGTTTGACTGTGAGAATTGAGTTAGGTAAAAGATAATGGTGGGTACCTATGAGGGTGCTGGTAGCGAAGGGCGAGGGTTGCGGTTCCAAGGCTCGGGGTCGCAAGGGCCGGAGGACTCGTGGTGGCCGGCGTGCGGAGCCGGCGGGAGTGCGAAGCTGCACCGGTAAGTCGCGCGTCGGGCAAACGTTTAATGCGCGGGTATTTCGGTATATCACACCCATCGGACAAATCGCGACCGTGCGACCCGGCCTCAACGAGCACTCTAATAATAAACTTGTTTATATTTTTTATTCTCTCCGTGACTTTTTATTCCGATTCCCTACCTCCTGCTAACTAACGGCCGAAGGCCTCGCTCGACGACCTCGAGAGCCACGTGCTCCTCTAAATAGACCGCGCGACGACACGACAGTGGAGTTTTATCATCGATAATTGAGGATTTATCGAGAGCGTGCAGCGTGAATCGGCGCCAAAATGTGGTTTTGGGATGAGTGGTATTTTGCGGGGGCGGCTGCGGCGGCTGTGGCGGCGGCGGCGGCGGCGGGCGTACGTACCGTGATGGTGTCGGAGAGGGCGCTGCAGAAGGCGCCGAAGCCGGTGTGGTGCGCGGGCTGCGGGCTGGGCGGCGGGGAGCCGCCGGCGCGGTCCATGGCGCGCGCGCGCGGTTCGCGGCGGGCNCCCACCGTGCGGCGTCGGGAGCACTGCCGCTTGCCGCAACGACTCGCGCCCTCGCGTTACATAAACTCGCTCCTTGCCCGCTGCCCGCTCCCACCTGTCTGTTGTCGCTACGTTCTGGCATCAACGCATGCAACCCACAACAATAACACACTAAATAATTATAGAAACACTATTTTTAAGCGCACCCAACGTTTTCAGTACGACTAATTTGTACTACTTTGTCTTAACATAGATTGATTGATATGATGCACGATGGCGGTTAAATAATGACTTAATCAGTTTTATCTTTTTACCCGACTGCGGAACGCTCTGTTTGGCGAGCTAACATAAGAGGTGTCATTAGATTCTGGTTTTAATAAGTAAATGACAGTCATATTATGATAAGTAAGTGTGTAATACATAGAAACAATTTAATATAAATGCGCAAAAAAACATATTTAATATAGGAGGAAATAAACTAATTTAGTAGGTCCACTTTACCAAAAAGAAAAGCTAGGTACTTAATAAAACTGGTGGCTTATGTGAGACGATGATAAACTTGAGATGCAGCTGCCATTTTTATTCCTCTTGCCAGCTGAACTTAACTTTACAGCCACAATCCACCGACTAAAAATTTAATTAAGTAGGTACCCTATATCTCAGCAAATTTTTGAATTATTTAGTATTTTCCTTTGAGTTATCTTCATTCGACGTGGAATTGTGGACAACTCTACATTACACATAGTACCATACAAATCGTTTTTATGGGTACTAAAACTCAATCAATTAATTAAGTAAATTGTGAATTTTATTAGGTTTTATACTTTTCAACAGACAATGGTTACAGAAGTGGCGGAGCTTACTCGTAATTAATGGTTCACGTGATAGAGGGCCTGCTGCGGATAGACTATTAATTGAGGTTACCTATGATAAATTGATTTTAGATCAACGGCTGAAAGGTTTTCAAATCATAATAAATAGAGTCCAGTCAAGTTTAGGTTAAGGTAGAGACAGATATCGATAAAAATCTTATTCATTTTATCTTTTGTCCTCTTATTTACCTTTCAAAAAAAAAATATCTGTATTTGTTCATAAAACAAAAAAGAAACTTTATAACCCATATTGTGCAAATAAAGACTGATTTGATCTGAAAGAATAGAGAGACGTCCGAACTCCCTATACCTTAAAATATTAATTAATTTGTCATGTGACAAATCTGTAAATTACCTAATTCATGTAACGACACCACACATGTAAAATCTATCAAGGCGTTTAGGATTCAAAGCGTGCCAAAGAATTTAACATCAATAGCTACAGAGATGCACACGAAAAACATAGTCCTCCTTTTCGGCCAGTCGGGCAAAAGAGGGACGCTGAATTGTGTGTGATGGAACAAATAGAGTACAAGATGTTTGATGTCGCCAAACGTTAATGGAAACTGTGACAGACAGCACTAACCTACTTACACGAGTTTGTGTCCTATAGGTACGCGATGATAATATGTTCTTAGGGGCACCATTGCGGTCCAGAAAGTTACCTGGCTGTAAAAAATAAGCCTCATCTATCCGGTTATTATGTTGCACATACTTTTATCTTAGCTTAGCTTAACTAAAACACGAAAATGCCACACCTTCAGTTCTAAAGCTGAAAGAATTTTGAAGTTTATAAATTCGGTAATAAAATTTTCATTAAGGTATCTAGCCATGATCTATTTTTATTGCTTACTGTTTCTTTAGAACAAATATTTTTAAAATAAGCAGACAAAGTAACTAGTTAATACAAATGAATTAGCCCTGAAGTGTTTACTTGCACGATATGAAATAATATAGGGTGTTGCCGGGTAATTTGACGTAGCTTAGATTCCTGTTTAGAAGTGAAACGTATAAAATTTTCCCTTTCTCGGATGTGCTCCTCGCTATTTATTCTTCAAAGAGAGCTCAAAAATACGTGCTATATCTTATGAGATACAAAAGCAAGAACAGCTTACAAAAGTATGCTTTTGTAAATAATGTACTTCGTGTATACAAATTGTTTTGCAGAGAATAGCATGTTGTGTTGACTTCAATCAATTGCCTAGGTAAAAAAGGGCATAACATGCTTACAATATTAAATGAGGAACGAGACAACCAAAACTGAGAGTTTATGTTTATGGCTTTACAAGGCGACACACAACAGGGATCATGGTAAGAAATAATTTTGCTCTCGCATCTGTAATTAGTGTCAATTATTCAATTCATTGGCGCAAACACCCTGTATAATAACAATGTCAAAAACACAATTGCGAGTAGGTATTTTACCAAAAACGCATTGAAATGAAAGCAACTGTATGTACTTTACGACATCATTACACGCTACTTTAGCCGTTCGTATAGAAAACATCTGTTTATACATTATTGTCACGATTTTCCACGATATAATAAGGTACGTCGGTATGCAATGAGAACAATTTGCCATTAATAAAGTCTAGTTAGTGCTGATAATAATCTACACTTGAAATGTCTGCTAAAATTTACTTCGTGGCTGATTTGGTCAAAGTGCTAATTTTCTTTTTGTGCTTAAGAATTTCGCACAGCGGAAGGATTAGAAGGATTGTAAACGGAATGCCTGTGTTGTGCGGTAGATATCGTATCAGTTTTTATTACTTTTGCATTCTTTTTTTACATTTTAAGACTAGTCGTTCCCGCGCCTTTATAGCGCAAACTAAAGCGAAGCTAATAAGTGCGGCATGTAACGCTCATGAGACGAATTTATGAAATTTTGAATTAATCTTGAATTTAACCAATCTGATCCTGCCCAGGTTAATACTTACATTACAATAAATTCAAAAAATCGACATTCAAATTAACTCTATCATAAAGAGATTAACGCGTATTCAAAATATCTGAAAGTATTGTGATGTGCGGTGGATGTGAGAAGAAAATATAGAGGTGTTCAATTTACAGGCAATGCTCACATTCAACTTCTGAAAAAATAAGTTGTATTTGTATTGGCAGGCGAGCAGCCTCGCGTCGCATCCATTCGGAACTCTACCACCGGTCAGCACCTTTGTGGAATTACCCTCGTATCGCCAGAATTTGCCATAACAGCAGCCCATTGTGTTCTGCAGCCAGTCGACCAATACGTTCTGCGGTTGAACAATTATTGTGTTGGTGAAAATGAGACCTACCCTGAAGCAGAAGTAGTAGACATCATTATCTACGATCAGTATGACAGGTATGTAGGGCTTCTAGCACTTGTTTAAAAAACATATTAGCTAATGCCCCAGCGGCAACAGATTTTGATTTAAAATGAATTCACCGTTGTAGAGCCTTACAGCTATTAATGGCTATTTTACGTTCCCAAATACAACACCAACTATCCTATGATAGAACTTTAGTACTGAGGGCTGACTGTGTTTACATCAATCGTCGTCATTATGTAATTCATTATAATGAGCGCGTAAAAAAAATTACATTAAATGCATGACAGATTGTATTGCTGTATAGTCCAGTCAATAAAGCATTATAGATGGAAAACTGTAGAACACAATTTCTGACTTCAGGACTTTATTTAGACTAGTTAGGTGGAGAACATAGCAAAAGTCCCCGCCCTTAGCCCTTGAGCCGGCGGGGAGAGGGGGGTTTAAAGGTGCCACTTTTCGGTTTTTCGCTTAATCCTCGGAAACTATGCGTCCTAGTGACATGACTACTTTGAACCAAAAAAAGCATATTCAATTTGCTACAGATGAGATAGACAAGTTTTTCTATAAATTGTATAGTTTTCGCGGCATCTGCTCTAGAAGGTCTGTAATATTGGAAATTTTATTTTTGTCTTACATGTTCCCATCAGGAGAAAATCGACTAAATCAACATTGAGCAATCATTCTAGACATGCGGGAGCATGTTAAGCCTAGTTCCAGCGAGGGGACTACACCGTGCGTATATTTAGACGAATCACTTTGATCCACTTTTGAGTCCTCATCACTCAAAAACTGCTGTGCATTAACACTTCAAATTTGGCTCATGTGTTGAGACTTACAAGATATACATCAGTTTCAAATTTCATAAATCTGCCTCAAACGGTTCTTTAGATATTGACGTCCAAAAATCTACATGTCTGACCTATAGACCAAATTCTAACCACTTCCAGATGACCTCGAAGGTTCAAATTTGGCATCCAGAAAGGTAGTTATGTAAATACAAAGGAACAAATAAAAAACCAGTAAATTTTAACATTTCACATGTGATAGATAGATAGTAGTGCTCTAAATATCGATTTTTGAACGTCAATACCTAAATAACCGTTTGAGGTATATTTATGAAATTTGAAGCTGATGTACATCTTGCAAGTCTCAATACATGAGCCAAATTTGACGTGTTAATGCACAGTAGTTTTTGAATGATGAGGAGTCAAAAGTGGCTCTAATTGGGTTGTCTAAATATACGCACGGTGCAGTCCCCTCCATGGAACTAGGCTTAACATGCTCCCGCATGTCTATAGTGTTTGCTCAATGTTGATTTAGTCGATTTTCTCCTGACAGGAACATGTAAGACAACAATAAAATTTCCAATTTTACAGACCTTCTAGAGCAGATGCTGCAAAAACTATACAAGATATAGAA